TACTCATTCTCCCTCATATTCACCAGATAAAGGCTCTAACCCAAACATCCCTAGCAACTCCCAACCATCTCTCTCAGCCCCTGCAAAGCACTCAAACCAATCAACTCCAGATACCAACCTTTCCCTCATCACCCTCATACAGCCAACCTATTCACCTCCTTCAAATTCCAGCAAAGCTTTGCCACCTAAAAAAACAGTCAATGAACCAAATAAACCAGCCCCATCTCAAATGCACATTATTCACAGCTCAGACCATATTTCCACCCCATTGTTGAATACACCAACATGCTCCTGGATCCCTCTTTCACAGTTATACCCCATAGCCAAAAGCAAAACTCTGTTAAGAAATGCACCAGAAAATCTAAAGACTCATCATCCCCTAACCCCTCTAAACAAGCCATCAATTCTCACACTTCCAACCCTAAATCTAAAAGAGGTAGACTGCAGTCTGATGAAGTCACCCATGCTAACCCTGTCTCAGGCACTCCTGAAATTCATACCCCAAATCCAAAAAAGCAAAAACTATCTTCTTCTAAGGTGGAGGCAGCCAGCCTGAAATGGCTCCCAACTGATAAATGAAAGCTATGGTGTGGAACTGTAGAGGTCTGGAAGGACCCTCTACAGTTCTCCAGCTCAAGGAGTCCATTAAACACCACCTCCCATGGTTCACTTTCCTTTCAGAAACCAGAAAATCTTCTGCCTTTGTAAATACTATCTGCAAAAAGCTCAGTTTTGATGGTCACGGTCTTCCAATTGACCCCACCGGCCAAAGTGGTGGTCTTCTTTTGCTTTGGAGCAGGGACATTTTGATTCTCAATATTATCTCTCATTACTTTTGTATTGAAGTCGAATTCCAACACTCTTCATCCCCTAGCAAGCACTGGCCATCTTTTTCTGTATGAGTTCCTATGCTGAAGAGAGAGATATGCAAAGGAATTATCTAATCAATGCCAAAGACAAATGGGGGGACCCTTGGATTATAGGAGGATACTAGAATGACATTTGTAGTAGAGAAGAAAAGAAGGGTGGTAGAGAAAGGACAGATAGCAGCTTTTGGGGTTGTAGGGATTTCATAGCTAACATGAACATGCTTGAGGTCCCAGCACATAACAATAGAATGGAAACTCAATTTATCGAAGAAAAGCTGGACAGATTCTTCACTTCTTATAGCTGGATCTCCAATCACCCTCTCACCTCCTCCTCTAACATTTGCAGAAGTTCATCAGATCACAACCTCATCCTTTTCTCAGACATCCCATATTTTCAGCACCCCAAGAAGAGACTCTACTTTGACAGAAGATGGATTAGGAATGAGGGAATACAGGAAATCATATCTCAAGCTTGGAATTCTACCCATTCTGGCACACCAATGTACCAAGTCCAAAGTAAAATAAAAGAAACAAGAATCTCCCTCCTAAATGGAGCAGAAATTTTAGAACTGATAACTCTAAGAAGATTGAAAGATTGTCTAAAGAGTTAGACACCTTGAGATCTCAGGGAGGAGACAGAGATAATCAAGGATTCAATGGCTCAAATCAAGAGACAAAAAAACTCAATTCTTTCATGCCTACACTATGCAAAGGAAGAAAACCAACCAGATATCTAGATTGATAATTGAAGATAATGTGATCCATCAAGCACAAGCAGACATTGAGGGTTGCATTGTTGACTTCTATAGCCACCTATTCTGCTCAGAAGGTTCTTGGGAAGCTAAAGGACTTCTAGACTGCATTCAAACCTCTATCACCAACTCCTCAAACCCATCTCTGTTGTCTCAAGTAGGGGAGGCTGAGATAAAGAGAGTCCTTGATAGCATGAACCCAAATAAGGCCCCATGCCTTGATGGTATGTCACCTCTTTTCTGTCAAAAGTATTGGAACATTGTTAAATCTCATCTCTGCACTTCCATCCAATGTTTTTTTTTTTTTTTAATTCTAGCCAAATTCTTAAAAGTTGGAACCACACAGCTATCACTTTGATTCCAAAATGTCCTAACCCCTCTCATGTCTCTAACTATAGACCTATAAGCTTGTGTGGTGTTCCATATAAAATCATTTCAAAAATTTTGGACTTAAGCATTGGTTGCACTCCTGCATATCTGAAAACCAAACTGCATTCATTCCTGGTAGGAGTCTGTTAGATAATGTAGTGGTGGCTCATGAAGCTATTCACTATCTAAACAGGCACATTTCTGGCAATAATTTCCTAATGGCTCTTAAGCTTGGTATGGCAAAGGCCTTTGATAGAATTGAGTGGAATAACATCAACAAAATCATGTTAAAAATGGGTTTCCCAGCAAAATTTTTGAACTGGATCATGGCTTGTGTTTCTTCTCCTCACTATTCCTTTAATATTAACGACTCTGTAAGTGGTTTTGTGGCTCCATCTAGAGGAATTAGGCAAGGAGACCCAATCTCCCCCTACATTTTCATTGTGGTTGCTGAACTTTTCTCTTGCCTCATTGATAAAGTTGTTTTAAGGGAGATTTGCAGGGGATTAAACTCTCCAGAAATGGCCCAACCCTCAGTCACCTATTTTTTGCTAATGACAAATTCCTTTTCTGCCAGGCCAATACCCAAAATGCAGCTGCCATTCTCCAAATTCTCTAAACCTACCAACTTTTCACTGGTCAAAAGGTAAACCTGTAAAAATCATCCATTTTCTTTAGCAGAAACACCCCCATTTCAACTCAAAACTCCATCTGCAACACCCTCCATGGCATCCAACACCATCTCTTATGTAAATACCTTGGTTTACCCCTCCAAATTTGCCATTCCAAAAGACAAACTTTCGAATAGGTGACTTAGATTTTCAAATCTAGAATTTCCAGTTGGAAGAACAAGTTCCTTTCCCCTGCTGGCAAAATAGTCTTAATCAAATCAGTCCTCACTGCCTTACCTGTTTTTGTAATGTCATGTTTTATTCTACCCATTTCAGTTTGTGATGAGATAAACAGGTTAATGGCTGAGTTTTGGTGGAGCAAAGGGGATAATCTTGTGAAAGGAATGCACTGGAAGAGTTGGAAAATTTTGTCTTTACCTTTGGAAAATGGAGGTTTGGGTTTCTCTGATTTAAGAATCTTCGATTAAGCTCTCATTTTTAAGCAGTTGTGGAGATTAATTACCAAGACAAACCTCATCATGAGATAAATCCTCAAAAGCAAATACTATCGAAAGGGCTCTTTCTTTGAATCCAGGACTCCTGCAAGGAGCTCATGGCTGTGGAGAAGCTGGATGAAAATTTGCCCCTTCTTCCAACAGCACCTCAGCATGAGCACTGGTGATATGCAGACAACTCTTATATGGGAACATCCTCAGCTGCACAACCTCCCTGACTTCAAACCAAAGAGAAATCCTAACTGCCACCCCTCATTATCTAAAGTTTGCCAACTCATGAACTCATCAGACAACAGCTGGAACACTGATCTGATAAAAGGCACCTTCTCTCCTCATGAAGCTGATGCAATTCTGCACCTCAACTGCCAAGACAGATCAAGGCCTGATAGATTGGACCCCAAATAAAATAGGCTCTTTCTCTGTATCTTCTTCTTATACTCAGCTGATCTTAGAAAAAATTTGCAAGCTTGATATTCCTGAATATAGCAATCAACCATCATGGATCAACAAAGTTAGAACCCTCAGCTGGAAGCTCAAGGTCAAGAGGAAATTGAAACACTTCATCTCGAAATGTTTCAATAACACACTCCCTTGTTGTGCTAACTTAGAAAAAAAAAAAGGAATGCGGCTGGATTCCATTTGTATGATGTGTGGTGATTCTGATGAAACTGTGGAGCACATTTTTTTCCACTATTACAGGGCTCAAACAATCTGGAAGCTTGCACCCTTGAGCTGGAACAATACCCAACCTCAAATTCCATGTTTCAAGCATTGGTGGAGGGACATTTGCATAGCAAAAGGTTAGATTGTTTAGGATTGAGCTCACTGCATACATTCTGTGGTGGCTCTGGAAATCCAGGAACCTATGGATTTTCAAGAAATCTTGGCTGCCAGAGAAGGAGACCATCAAAGCTGCTCTCCTGGAATGGCAGGAATTCTCCTCAGTTCATTTTTGATTTGTTCTGTTTTTATTTCTTCAGTCTTTCTCCTTGTTGTGGTTTGTATTAGCACTGTTGCTCTAGTGATCTCTTGCTAGGTACCTCGGTTCAGTGGCTAGTTCTCTTTTTGTATGTAGACTAGATAGGTTAGCAAAAGGTTCCAGTATCTTTATTGCTTTTTAGCTGCTTATGTGGTATTATTTAGTTCCCCTAGTGGAACTCCTGATTTGTATAGGTCATTTGACCTCTCGAACGCTGTATATCTTTTTTGAAGTCTATTCATATCTATCGTTTCGAAAAAAAAAATGGATAAGTCTAATTGGTTTTGATTTACTATATTGTATTCCTACAAAATAAAAATATAAATAAAAACAAAAACTTTTTTCGCATGACACACAATCATTTCAATTCATCACTCTTCTCTCACATAGGAAAATTAGAAATGAGAAAGCCAAACTCCAACACGTAGAAAAAGCCACTTTGTAAGGAACATATTTCACCTAGTCTACTTAATTTGCTCCAAAACACCAACAATAATGGAAAAAGAACACCATAACTGTGTGTCTGTGTGAGTGCAAATTCATATAGAAATTCGAGAACCCCTTTTCGCCGTGTTTTTTT